GTCTTGGACACCCAGTATGTCAACTCCATCGTTGATTTACAGACGGAGCCGTCGTCGCCCTCGGCTGCTTCGCAGGGCTGAGAGAGGGAAAAAGTGCAGGCGGCAGGATTCCCCCTCCTCCCCCTTTCCCTGTTTCTAGCTCTGCGGCACCTTAAAAACAACTCATGGAGCATTTATTCCAATCAGCCTCGACAATTGCAACAGGGCTGCGGGGAGGATGACTTAGCCAACGTTCCCGGACTGGCGGAAAGAGGGTGGGTTGGGTTGCCTCCCTTTATTTAGCGTCTCCAAGGACCTGGACGTGGGGGGGCCCTGCAAGGCCAAGGGGAGGGGTTGCCGGCAGCTGAACCAGCCCCATCATACAGGGACTGGTTCAGAGGAGCGGGTTGTGTCTTGTTTTTCCTCATAGGCACTAAAGTGTTCTCTGCTCTTCATGGCCCAAAGTAGGAGAGCCTCAGCTTCAACCGTGCCATGACAGCCTGAGTTCCGTGGGCTTGGTGGAGTGGAGACGTTCGGGGAGACGGCAAAACATCGGAGCCCTTGCAGTTCAGCCAAGCCCCTCTCTCTTGCCAGGCCCAGGTGGCCAGCCGGGTAGACTGCTCCTGAACAAGGAGGGTCAGGTGTCGTCTGTATTTTGACCTATTTATTTGTATGAAGGAGGTGCCTCTCTGTCTCTCTCTCTCTCTCTCTCGGGAGGGAGGGTCACACCGTTTTATTAAATGAGAGCCATAATATTTATTTGTATGAAGGAGGTGCCTCTCTGCCTCTCTCTCTCTCTCTCAGGGGGGTGTCACACAGTTTTATTAAATGAGAGCCATAACGTAATGGGGCTTTAATGAAAATTTAAAAGATTACCATCTGTAATTTTCTCTAATTCTGCTCTAATCCTCACTAAAAACCATCTGTCGCCATTTCAAGGAAACCCGCATGTTGATTGTATGTTATGTGTGTGCTTTTTTATATAAAAGTACTTATGTATTTGGAATTTTCTGCATGTCTGCTTTTATTTGGTGGCCAAGCCATTCTATTTTACAGTCCTCCAGCGAAGCCTTCCCAGGCCTGGCAGGCTCCGAACCCCTTGGACTACAACTCCCATTCGAGCTGTGGAGGATGGGGTTTGCTTTCCATTTCTTTTGCCCTTACAGGCCCTGTCTTGCTTTTCCCTGCTGGGTGAAATGCCAGGAATTCTATATTACATCGTCTCCATTTCGGTGGTGAAAGCTTGGCAGAAGTGGGCGGGTGGAGAGGCCCAAACGGTGTTCCCTATACATATTTAATTGGGGGCTCTTCTTTATATTTTCACATTTTCTCTTCTGCTTTGGTGCCCTGTCTGACCAAAGAGAAAAGAATCCACCTTAAGGGTTTCTTTTGGATTTATATATATCATTGCTGTCAATGTATCTATTGCTAATTTTGCCCATTGAGGCACCGCTGGGGCTGGCTGCCTCTCCCCAGCGCCCGGGGGTGGTGGTGGGGGAGGCAGGATTTGCTCTCATCTCCCCTTTGGCGCCCTGTCAAAAGTGGGAGCCTCGCGAAAGGTGAAGCTTTCGAAATTGGTTCCTGGCGGTGTTTGGAAATTGCTCGCGACTTCTCGGGTCAAGCTGCAGAAGGAACCTTGCCACTGAGAAAATTAACAAGGGAAAGATAACAGAGTTAGTGCCGCGGGAAGGAACGGCTCAGCTGTTGGGTGCTTCGATTCCAATTTACTGGGGCTTCAGGATGGGTGTCGGATCTGGGGCTCTCCGGCTGGGTTTAATTTTCAGAAAGAGAGCTGCCAGGAAGGGTCATGCAGTACAGTGGTTAGAGGGTCAGAAAAATGAGACCATGAAAGCAAGGATTGGAGAAGAGTAGGAATCTAGCCGGATTCAAAATTTTAATTCTTGATGGAATCCGGGAAATGAAACACGGTCTTTTCAGCAGTCCGTGGAGGCACGCCGTCGTTCTAAGCTTGGAGAGAAGTTACCCCGAATCCCCAAGCTAGCCTAGATACCCTGCTGTTAGGGCTCAACATGGCTCACACCATGGAGATACATCCCATTCGATGCTGGAGTTTTTACAACCTCGCATGTTGCCCGAGCAGTAGTTTGTTTGACTAGGAGAGACCTTTCTGGGCTCTCTGGAGCGGCTGTCAATCTCTCCAGCGTTCACCAATCATCCCTTCCTGTCTCAGAATTCCAAAAAGAGCTCCGCCTCTCCACTTACAGTTCTCTTTCCCTCTCCTTGGTCTGCGGAAGTGTGTTAGAAAACTCAGTTAGTAGGTTGGTTGCTTTGTTTGTTTGCTGTTGATCTGTTTACGACTGTACGTAAGGAAATGTTTTTGTATGTTATGAAGACCTTAAGAGACATTTAAGGAGAAAGGGGTGGACTCTTTGAGGGACTTATAGCTCTCTTTCTCTCTGAGTCTCTGTACTTCTACTGCGCAGCAATGGGAATTTTACCAGAAATTCAGAACTCTGCAACATAGATGCTAGATCCTTCTCATCTGTCACGTCTCTGGCCCGGCGCCCCATCACCAGATGCTCTGGGGCGGGTGTGCCAAGCGAGAGGAGAGAAAAAGCCCTCGTCGTTGTGACCCCCCCCCCCCGGCGTTTGTTGCAGCTCGGAGCGTAAATAAGGTTATAAATCTGAGAACCGGGAGAAAGTGAGAGACCTACTTTCGGCCTTAATGAGAGTGCGGGAAGGAAAACCTTGGCATATTTCATCCTGATGCATAAAAGGGTTCGGAGCGAGACAGGCTGGAGGGAGGCTGCTAAATTAAAAACCTCCCCAGATGATGGAAGCAGCCAAGGCAAAAAATAAAAATCTCTCCAAAGTGATGTTTAGATGGGGGGGATTCCTCCCTTTCTCCCTTGATGCAGCTTTTTTCCCCTTTTTATTCCCCCACCCACTCAAAAAAGAAGAGCCCAGATTTTAGAAGAAAGGAGCGATGGGAGTTGGAAGGAGGCTGATGACTTGCTGGACGGAGGTTCTGTAAGGATCTTAGCATTTCCACTGAGATGCATCGGCCGCGGCTAATTGCGGCGAATGGATGAGAAGCCGGGTCTGTCTTGGCTGCCCCAGTGACAAAGACATGCAGGGGAGTTCTGCCCTGGCTGCCCATCGATTAGCTGCAATTAGCTTCAGCAAAGTGGCAAAGCCTCATAAGGGAATACCGAGTGGATTGAGAACCTGAAATGTTCTTTTTTCAGTAGCAGTGATCAGTCATCATTCCCTAATTGAAATGTAAAGAACTAGACAGAGGGAGATCAGAGAGCCCCTGAAGTTGCTTTTCTGGGGCTGTGGACTCAGCAGGAGAGGGATAGGCTGGCTCATCACAGTCTTCCCTAACGAGATGTGTCATTATAAAAAGCTTATGCCTTTTAGTGCTGATTGATAGATTCTTTGATTCTCCTTTTGGGGGGTGTCTCCCTGGCTGCTCTGGTTCCTAACCCTCCCAGCAATTAATTGCCATTGGCATTACGATTTGAACAAGCCACTCTTTCTCAAAATTGAAAGGTAACTGTGATAATTACTTTTAGTTACTTCTTAAAAAACGGAATGCCAGAAGCCGGTGGCCTGTGTTATGAAACATAAGTAAATAGGGAGACAAAACACACAAGCACACACCATAAAAACCACTAAAAATAGTTACAGTTGTATGATAAAAAGAGTTAGGTGACGCCTTGTCCTCGTGCTTCATAATGTTTCTTAGTAGTGCCTCGGTGAATTTGAAAAATTGAATTGTTCCAAAGGAATGAGAGGCTTCCAAACTCTACACTCTTCTTCAGCAGGCAGAGTTTGTTGAAATGTAACTGGAATAGTAACTCATTCCTTTTTTAGGAGCTTCGTCACTAATTACTTTTTTCAAACTCCCTTTCTAAGCTCTGTTGTACAACGGGATAGAAGCTATGCAATGTCCAGCTGCAGATGTCACATTCACTCAGGTCCGTAGGAGATGCACTGAGCACCATTTGAAGGCTCTTCTTAATTAGGAAGAAAATAATGCTTTGGCGCTGATCATTTGCATGGAATAGGTAGCATTTGACACGACCTCTCTCTCTCCTTATTCTGCTTTTCATGTAGATCAGCAGCTTGGAGAAAAGGTTTCTTCGGATGAAGGTATTAGGGATGTAATCTATGATGTGTCACTGTTGCCCTCAGTCAGATGTTTTTACTGAAGGCTTTTTGTTAGAGGAAAATGAAGGTGCATGAAACCTTGAGAATTGGTTAACATGCTGATATTCGTAGCCAGGGTAGAATTTTGTCAAGAAGTGGGAAGAAACAACGGATTTTGTTTAAAGGGCTTACTAGAAAGAACTAAATGTTCATAGTTAAGCTGTTTGATTTGCTTCGAGAAAGTAAGAAAAAAGGGGAGGAAAACAAAGAATGGGTTGTAATAAAATGTTGTAGTGTAAAGTGCTTCTGTTCCCCACATTTCCGGGATTTTTTGGTTCCAAAGAACCCATTTCTGTTCCTCTTTCCCTGATGGGGCCGATCCACTGATTGCTAGTGTATATAAAACTTCTGCTTGGCTGTGTCTCATTGTTGTTGATCACAGCCAACAAGCTGAATATGAGCCAACAGTGTGACGTGGTTGCAAAAAAGGCCAATGTGATTTTAGGATGCTTTAACAGAAGTATAGTCTCAAAATCCCACGAGGTACGAGTTCCTCCCTATTTGGCATTGGTTAGGCCTCATCTTGAGACCTGTGTCCAGTTCCAGACACCACACTTTAAGAAGGATGCCAGCAAACTGGAACAAGTTCAGAGGAGGGCAACAAGGATGATCAGGGGACTGGAAATGGTCATGGGACTGCTAGAGAGCCTTGTAGTCAAGGCCTTTGGCTGTGGAGCCAGATAGGTTTGGAGTTCGAATCCCCATAGGGCCTCCAGGACAGGGGCTAGACCGGATGATTCCTTCCAGCTCTACAGTTCTAAGATGATGACGGTCGGGAATCCCACCCACTTGTTCTGGCTTTGTGGCTCATGCCTTTTTTGTTTTGGCTGTTGATGCAGACGTTCAGGATGGAGACCGAGGAGGACCCTTTATTCCAAGGCAGCTGGCTGAACGAAGATGAGGAGGGGGCCTTCGGCCCCTGCAAGAGGGTGGAAGGGCCCCGTCTCTGCGGGACATGCCGGTGGAATCCCAAGCCCCGGGTCACGCCGGGCCCTGCAGTGTTGACCTCAAGTTTTTGGAACGTGGTAGGTTTGGTCTTCACCAACCCCTACTCCGCCGGGCTCGTCCTCTTCTTGGGCTGCGCCATTCCAGCCGCCTTGACCCTGGCGATGTTCCTGCACTACCCCGCCCTGGACATCGACATCTCATACAATGCCTTTGAGATCCGGAACCACGAGTCCTCCCAGCGCTTTGATGCCCTCGCCTCGGCCCTCAAGTCGCAGTTCGGCTCCTGGGGACGCAGCCGCCGGGACGTGGCGGACTTCAACTCCGAGACCCTGCAGAAGCTGATCTTCGAACAGCTCCAGAACCTCCGCCGCAACGCCTCGCGGCTGGCGGGCGTCAGGCGGGGCCGCCGGAGCGCGACCCTGGGGAGAGTTCATCCCCCTCTTCCTCCTCCTCCAACCCCACCGAATCTGGCCAACCGGACCACCCGTCGGCCACGGAACCTCCCGCCCCACTGGGAGTACCCCAACGCCGTTGCGAGTGCCAACACGCAAAGCCACGCGCACTGGCGGATCGAGCTCATTTTCCTCGCCCGGGGTGACGCCGAGAACAACATCTTCACCTCTGAGCGCCTGCTCACCATCCATGAGATTGAGCGCAGGATGATGGACCACCCTCGTTTCCAGCAGTTCTGCTGGAAGCCCCACGAGGTTCTGAAGGACCTCCCGTTGGGATCTTATTCGTACTGCTCTCCTCCAAGCTCTCTCATGACCTATTTCTTCCCCACGGAGAGAGGCGGGAAGATCTACTATGACGGCCTTGGTCAAGATCTGGCTGACATACGAGGTGAGCAGTGGCGGGCTAGGGAATGACGTAAATCGTTGGAGAGAATGTATGGCACTAGTTGATAACCATCAAATGCCATCAAGTCAGTCCTGACTTATGGCGATCCTTTTTCAGGGTTCTCTACGGAGAGAGTAGGAGCTCCTATCTGCAGAATCAGTATCTGCGGGTTCACTTCTCCTTGGGAAATATTAAAAAATATATGTATTTTTTAAAAAACTAGAAATATGTATTTTTACAATGTATTTACCAGAACCTGCCACTAGAGGGAGCCAGAGACCATGTTGTGTATTGTCTGGCATGATCTCTCGCTCCCTCTAGTGGCCAGTTCTGCTAATCCAAGTGAAAATACTTTTTTTTTCTGGGTTTCTTTCTTTTATCATACTATGTACAGCATTTGCTACGCATTATCTGTGGTTTACGGCATCAGCTGAGGGGGAAGGGCGTGTAACCAATCCCCTCATCCATACAGGGGAAGCGGTTTCCCCTTCCTTTCTGTGGGTGCCGTGGAACGGTGCAACTTGCCCAAGGCCATCCAGATGGGCTCTTCTGGGAAGGATAGTGGGGGAAACAAACTCTGAAAGCAGCTTGGCTTGCAGCAAAGATGAGACCATCCATCTGTTCAGAATTGCAGTCGAAAAAGACACAGAACTAGAAGAACAAGCGATGAGGAGGGCAGAGGAAAAGAGAAAGCAGGGTCGCCCATTTTGAATGTTCTAGGCTCCTTATTCTGATTAGCAGTGATGGTGGCGAGCTGCTTATAGCCATGGTTTGTCTCTGTTGACGGGTGCGGTGGAAGGGGGGGGTATTAAGCAACCTCTGCCTTTAGCGTCTGGTCCTTCCGAAAATCAGCCGGTTCTCTGCCTCTCTATAGGTTCCCTAGAGTTAGCCATGACCCACCCGGAGTTCTACTGGTACGTGGACGAGGGCCTCTCGGCAGAAAACATGAAAAGCTCCCTCTTACGCAGCGAGATCCTCTTCGGCGCCCCCCTGCCCAGCTACTCTTCGGTGGAGGATCGGTGGGAGGAGCAGCGCAGGAAATTCCAGAGTTTCGTGGTCACCTACGTGGCCTTATTAGCCAAACAGTCCACCAGGTGAGGAAGACCATGGTTTGCAGTGAAAAGGCACAGCAGAAGATGCACCAAGACGTCCGTGGTGGTCCAGCGGTTTGGTGGGGGTGGGGGTGATGGAGACCTGGTCCTTCTTAGCTGAACGAGATGACTAGACTTCCCAAGGATCTGCCCTCTGGACCGGAGGTCGGCCTGGGATGGTCTTATCTGCTCCGTGCTGGAGGTAGAACTGGCTTTCAGGTGGCCTAGGGGCTGGTCTAAGCACTCTGTGTAGGGCAGGATCTCCTGCCCTCAGAGGCAAACTTCAATGGTGTCACCAACAACTGGTCCAGTTCAGGATCCACGTTCCTGGTTGCATCTTCACCACTGAGCAGGTAGAGGTCTTCTGGAACCCCAGTCTGTCTCCTGTCGAGAGAGAGAGAGAGACAGAGCCAGGAGGTCTGAGTCTACCTTGTACGGAGCAGACCGACCAACCTCCGAGGTATCCTGCAGGCTCAGTTGACTCCCGGTGCTTAGCAGGTGGCGTCTTCAGGAGACAAGGTCTGCCTGGCCCGAGAGAGCAAGCCTCCGACAGGCTGGTCTCCCATGGAGGGCCAAAACTTGGCCAGCTGAGCCTGTGCCCCAGAACGGATCCATGCTCTGCGGGGCCGTAGCAGGCAGGATATCGCCCTGTTCCCAAAACAGATGCTTGAGGCTGGAGAAATACAGCGGGAGGTTGGCCAGACTCCCGGGAAGGGTGTCTCCCAGTGGCTCTTCTGCACCGGCTCTATTGTCTCCCTTGACGTAATTATCTGGGATTAGCTGTGCTCCCTCTCTCTTCCTTGGCAACGAGCCCCGATATAGACACTCGTTCAGCTTTCCATCTCAGGTGCTTGCGATGCGTGAATGCGTCCTGCTTCTTATGACCCGTTTTTGCACTGATTTATAAAACTGTTTTTGGCCCTGGCGCCAGAGAACGGCACTCTAGAGAGAAAGCTGAAAATTTATTCGGGATGTTCATTCTCTCTCTCTCTCTCTCTCCTTGGAAAATCATTTTCTCTCTCTCTCTCTCTCTTTGGAAAATCATTGTGCAAAGACTCTAATCCATCCGATTTTGGGAGAAGAGCAGGCGGAGGTTTCCCATCATCGGCGGGGATTTTCTCCCGACTCAACCATCTCGGGGGGGTTGGAGAAATCTCTCCCGTTGTTCCCTCTCGGCTCGGAGAAGGTTCAGCCAGGGATCTAAGCTTTAATGCCGAGCGACCGAAAGCTAGAAATTAAAATTAACCACAAATCTCCCTATCAGCATGAGCTCTTTTGAAAACATCGGTTGTGGGAGATCCCAAAACTTGCAAATCTATCCGTGTAGGACTAGGACATCAAGAGTTTACGATTCTGGATTTAAATTCTTGTGCTCTTGCTGAATTAGGTTTCTACCTATTACACACACACACACACACAATATAAAGATATTGCTCTTCCAAAGCCCATGAGGGGTGCCAACTGGGGAAGCAAGTGGGGGCTCACTCGTGCCATTTACACCATTGCCCTTATGCTGGTGTAAATCACCGGGAGGATTCTGGCAACCAATTCTTCTTGAAAACCTATGCTTCAAAGTGCAAAAGGGCCCCCCTTCCAAAATCTGCCCCCCCAAAAGCCAGGCATTAGGGGGTGACATGCCAACATAATCAGTTACTCCAAAAATGTGACAATCGTAAGTTCCTAACTCATCCCCCGCTCTTTCTCCCTAGCAAAGTTCAAGTGCTTTACGGCGGGACGGATCTGTTCGACTACGAAGTCCGGAAGACTTTCAACAATGACATGCTGCTGGCGTTCATCAGCAGCAGCTGCATCGCCGTCCTGGTCTACATCCTGGCTTCTTGTTCAGGTACATGGCCACCGCACGCCTCTCGATACTTCATCAAGTGGTGAGGAGTTCCAAGGGTTCCTCGGGCATGGCCAGAGGTTTGTCACCTCTGCTGCGATTTACGAAGTTGAGTGAAAGGGAAGCTGCAAAGATGGGGAAGAGTTTTGCTGCACTGGAGGGAGAAGCTAAGTATATATATATACACACAAGCAAGAAGGACTGATGGGTGATTTAAAAGAGGATGAGAAAAACCCATCTCGTGCTTTTGATTTTTTAGAAATCTGCAACAAGGTGGTTGTTGCCGTCGTTTTGTGCAGTCTGTGAGTGTTCAAGCGATGGCCAAGCATGTCAGAACCTGCTTTTGGCACGTTCCTTCTGAAAAATATCTGTGACTCTTCTCTGCTCTCTCTCTCTCTCCCTCTAGTGTTCCTGTCTTTCTTTGGGATTGCTAGCATCGGCCTTAGCTGCCTCGTGGCCCTCTTCCTATACCACGTGGTGTTCGGGATCCAGTATCTAGGTATTTTAAATGGAGTGGCAGCGTTTGTCATTGTAGGAATTGGTAAGTTTCCTTAACCTTCCCTGAGTAACATTGCAACCCTGTACATGTTGACACCCAATTAACGGTCAAAACAGACCAGGTGGGGAGCTTCCCAATTAGAAGCAGAGCTGATTTAATCAGGAAAAGATGTGAGATTATCCTTTAATACCTTTCTCAGTTTCGAAAGCCATGGTTTAATTGAGTTTTTTTAAAATTACTACCCAATGGGAAGGAATAACAAGTGCCGTAGATTTTGCAAACTGGGCATCTTTGAATTACATTTAATACCTTCTGATTCAAAGCTGATGTTTTGATTCAGAGCTTCCTTGAGTTCAGTGGGGCTTATTCTCTATAAGGTGGTTATTGGGTTGTCACCTGAGAGGTTGAAAAAGGGGGAAGGTGAGATGCATAAATCCAGTGTAAAGGCAAGACAGATGCTGTACAGATGTGCTACAGATACTCCTGATAAACTCACAAAGCTCCTTTATCTTCCATCGGTCCCTAATGGCTTTGCACCCCACCACAAACGAGTAAAAAAAGGAAGACTATAGTAAGGACTTTGGCCTTCCTGGGAGAAAGTGACTTAGCACAAGATATTGGGGGGGGGGGCGTAAGTTCATTCAAGAAGATTTATGCCCCTATCTTCCTAATAGACATCCCCGTGTCATTCGCCATAAAAATGTTTCTTTCCCCTGCCATGAAAATCACAGCAAAACAATTATAAAAAGCAATAAAAGGCGACTCGGGGAGAGAATGGAACAGTGCCGCAGAGCGATTGGGTATTTATGACAGAGGTTAAAAAGTAATTAGAAAGCCACCCAGTTATTGTTATTAAAAAAGAGAGAAAAGGCTCCCGTCTGGCATTCACAATGTGCAATCCAGAAATGCCTGTTTGGAAACGAGGTGGGGAAATTTGGCAGCCACGGAGAAGAGATGAATGTCATGGTTGTTATTTTGCTGGTGTGTGAGGTTTTTTTTTAAAAAAAGATTCGGACAGCAGTGCGGAATTTCACAGGCACTTTGGTGTTGGGTTTAATACAATTGTGAATGGATGTGGAAAGATGATGGGCTCGCGTTACGTCTGCTTGGATTTACTGCTGGATTGCTTGGGTTTAGCTTTCTGGCTGAGGAGCCAGAGATTGTGAGTTCGAGTTTGGTGTTGGGTTTAATACAATTGTGAATAGATGTGGAAAGATGATGAGCTTGCATTACATCTGCTTGGATTTACTGCTGGATTGCTCGGGTTTAGCTTTCCGGTTGTGGAGCCAGAGATTGCGAGTTCGAGTCCTCGCTGTGCCTCCTTGACAAGGGCTGGACTAGATGACCCACAGGGTCCCTTCCATCTCTGCAGCCCTAAGATGATTATTCTCTCTTTCCTTTTTGTCCCAGGGGTGGACGATGTCTTCGTTTTCATCAACACCTACCGGCAGGCCACCCACCTGAAAGACCCGAACCTTCGGATGATCCACACCATCCAGACGGCTGGCAAAGCCACCTTCTTCACGTCCTTGACCACCGCCGCTGCGTACGCCGCCAACATTTTCTCCCAGGTGGGCCCAGAACATCTCCCTTTCTCTGCTGATGGTTCTAGGGAGGAAGCCTGGATTTAGTTTAGCTTCCTTTTGGTGTGCGAACGATGCCAGAATGGCTCAAACTTTTTCATTTTTGGATGGAGCCCCCATGGTACTCTTTGGCACAATGAAGCCCTGCTCAGTTTCAGACAGACAGCTTTAAGGCTCAGCATTAGAGGGGAGCAAGAACTGTCCCGCCACTGGTTCGTGCCTTTTTGTTTCTTGGCCAATCAGGCATTTGGCAGTTCCCAGCCCCGCCTCCTCCAGCAGGCGCCCACTCAGGAGCAGTGCCCAGAGGAGGCAGAGCAGAGAAACCATGGGACTGCCTTGGAGTGGGCGCCTGCTGGAGGAGGTGGGGCTGGGAACCGCCAAACACCTTTTTGGACCAAGAAACGAATTGGCACAAGCTGCCTTTTTGTTTCTTGGCCAATCAGGCATTTGGCAGTTCCCAGCCCCGCCTCCTCCAGCAGGCGCCCACTCAGGAGCAGTGCCCAGAGGAGGCAGAGCAGAGAAACCATGGGACTGCCTTGGAGTGGGCGCCTGCTGGAGGAGGTGGGGCTGGGAACCGCCAAACACCTTTTTGGACCAAGAAACGAATTGGCACAAGCGTCTGGTTCGGTGGTTCATGCCCACCTCTGGTTTGTGTGCCTCGAATTTTTATTTGTAAAGGTGGGGCTGGGAAGCACCAAATACCTGTTCGGACCAAGAAACGAATTGGCACAAGTGTCTGGTTCGGTGGTTCATGCCCACCTCTGGTTTGTGTGCCTCGAATTTTTATTTGTAAATTTGCTAAAACCCATGCAGTCTCATGCAGTTCAGTTCATGCACTCATACTGAATCTGCTTGTAAAGACCCTTCACCCAGGAATAAATCCAGCCCTACTGAGTTGATCTGGGTTTCATGCAAATTAATTCAAATAAGACTGATTCGGTTAGGAATTTGGGCAATTTTGTACACAGTCTTGAGTTAGCCCCACCGCATCCCAGGTTTTAGCTAAAATTATGGCAGCGCTCTCCATTTGCATTTGCCATGAAAAAGAAGCGAGGTTTGTTCATTTTGCAAATCTAAATTATGAAACTTTGTGGGTCTGTCCTCCATGCCCTCTGGCTCTGTTAATTCTTGAATGTCTGTGTTGACCTTTTCAGTTCTTTCCCTTCCACTGGAAGAGCTGGGGAGCTCAGGGGTTTGAGCCTCCGGTTGCTGAACTAGAGGTTTGGAGTTCAAATCCTCACAGGGCCTCCTTGACAGGGGCTGGACTGAATGGTCTAGAGGGTCCCTTCCGGCTGTGCCGTTCCAAGATGGCCATGATTTTTTTAAATAGACCTTGGGTGCCTTTTTGCCTCTCTCTCCTCTTTCGGCAGATCCCAGCCGTGCACGACTTCGGCCTCTTCATGTCGCTGATCGTTTCCTGCTGTTGGGTGGCCGTCCTGTTCACCATGCCGGCCGCGCTGGGCATTTGGTCTCTCTATTTGTCCCCTTTAGAGGACGCCTGCCAGACCAGGTGAGGCCTGCAGAAGGAGCCACCCCAGATGGGACCTTGCGCCAGGCTGACTCCCATCTCCTCCCAGTGGGGGGACCTTTCTTTTCATTTCTGCTCCCACCCTGTTCTCCAACCCATCCCTCTTTTGCTGGGTGTTGTCCAAGAAGAAAGAGAAGCATCTCTAGGCAGGCCGGGTGTAGTTGTGGTCGTATCTTTCCATTCCCCCAAACCTCAGCTTTCCCACCACTCCGTCTCCGTGCATTCGTGGCAGGAATCGCTTGCACATGCCGCGCACCCGATACCCGCCTCGTTCCCAGGCATTCCCCCGAAGTCCCTGTGCAGTGAAGCATGCCTGCCTCCAGAATCTGGCTGATGTGGCTTGGGTTCCTCCTTTCACTGCAGCTGCAGCCAGAAATGCGTCAAAGAGAGCACCTTGCACGTCTCTGATGGCCTGTTCGTCTCCTCGGAGTCTGCCAGTGGACCGGGACCGGAATCGTTGCCTTATCTGGACGATGACATTCCTTTGCTTAACGTGGAAGAGGAACCAGGTGGGTTTGGGTTTGGGCTGGCTTCCTTCGCATCCCGAGGGTTTTGAGATGCGCTTATCGACAGATGTACTTTGCAACATCTGGATGACCCAGTGGTTTAGGCCTCTGGCTGTGGAGCCAGAGGTCGGGAGTCTGATTCCCCCACTGGGCCACCTTAAAAAGGGCTGGAGTTGATGGTTTACAGGGTCCCTTCTAGCTAGACAGCTCTCAAATGATGATGATGATGATGATGAACTTGTTTGTCATGTGCAAATCAGGACAGTAAATCTCAAAAGTTGTTCACAGAGTGTTTTATGCCTTTTTCACTTACTCTTTCATGAAAAATGCATGGAAGCTGAAGTGTATTTTTCTTTCTTTCTTGTTTTTCAAATGGAGCTGATATCAGAAGAAGTAGAAATGCCAACTGTATCCTGAACCCATCCCACCCACGATCCGGTACGGGATGGGCTCCGTCCCTCTCCGTGTCTGCACCCTACACGGAGTTCAGCCCTCCAGATGTTGTGGGGCTCCAGATCCCAGCCTTCCTCACCTCTCACTAAGGATGATGAGATGATGATGATGATGAGAGCTATAGTCCAGGAACACCTGGAAGGCTGCCTTTTGCCCAGATTTATTCTAATGCCTGGGTGCGAGGAAGGCTCCCTACTTTTAAGAGACGGTCCAGATCGAGACCCCTTTTACACAAGAGTTGAGTGCTTGTTGGGGGCCTGATTCGCAAAGCCGGCTTTCCTTCCCGCAGCATTCCCCTCCCCCCCGTTGCCCTCAGAGGTCAGGCGCCTCTGAGCAAAAAGCCCGAGGTGCTGGAAAACCCTTGCATCTCTCCTCATTCCTATGCTGTCTCTGCACCGTATGGTAATTTATGCAAATGGCTTCATAGGCTCCTTGACTGGAATAATCTGAGACAGCGGGAGAATTTCCTTCAGGAATTCCTCAGGTCAGCAGGGCAGGGAAGGTAGCTCCGGGCGTGTGTGAATGCACGCCTCCACTGCTAATGCAGCCGTGGAGGAGATTTTGAATGCCGGAATGCAGAATTAAGGGTCAGGGGTCCCGTTTTGGAGAAGGGTGAACAAGATGATTCTCTGTTGGCTGGTGGAGATGGTGGAAACAGGGGGCTCCAGGGGCTGCGAATCTGTTCCGTGTTTTACTCTGAACTTTACAGGGCCTTTCTAAGAGGCAGAGTCCCCCCGAACCCTAATAACTTCAGCACCCTAGACAGCTCCCTTAGAGCTCAGACTGAAGCAGATGCACAGTCTTGCTGATTGCGGTGTGCCACCACCTTCACTGAGTGTAGGACATGGAATCGGGTCCCTATGGGGTCACATCCAAAGCAGGAGTGAGAAAATGCAGCCGAATCTTGACTTTTCTGGGTTCCCAGTCAAGCCCTCTTGTATTCATGGAATTGCTGGGCTAAGAAAACTTGTTGCAATAGTCAAAATCTGGTGAAGGGATTGAATCCATTTCTTAAAGCCGTTGATGCTCAGAGCCTTCCTGGTCAATGGGCTGACCCGGATCATTTACCAGGCAAATCACCCCCTTTATTTTGCCCCACATGAGCTTGGTTTTAATGGAAATCTTTTCAACCCAGCGTTCATCACTCTTCTGCTCCTAGTTGCTCTGGAAATGGGGGACGTCCCCTTGGTGTCGGTGCTTCCGGACAACCTCTCCCTCCAGGCCAAGGACAGCAGCCATGGACAACTGATTGCTCATCTCCAGGAGATCCTCCACCACTGGGCCCTGTGGTCAGCCGTGAAAAGCAAATGGGTGATCGTTGGTAAGCCTTCGTTAGCTCATCAGCCGGTTATACGAAGATCTCAAACAGAAACTCTGAAAATGCACCACAAGGAGACCACGACGGATTTTTGGAAATGAGGCATGAGATTTAATGTGGTAATGTTAAAACAGTGACTTCTGTGTTGAAATGGAGAAACGCATCTAGTTCTTAATAAAATTACTTTTTTTAAAAAAATGTTACCAGTTTGCCTTTAAAATGTCATTCTTTAGATGCATTGGTTCTCTGCTTCTCCTGTTTGATGTGAGAGCAAGGATTATGACGTGAATGCATTTAAAGGCATGCGTCGCGTCCAAAATCACAGCTAGAGGTCATATATCATGGTTTAGTGCAGTGGTTCTCAGCCTCGGGACTACAACTCCCAGGATTCCTGGCCTGAACAGCTCACGGTGAAAGCTTCTGGAAGTGGTAGTCCAAGAACACCTGGGAGGACCCAAGATTGGGAACCAACGAGATAAACCTTAGACGCAGGAGAAATGAGCCATCTCAGGTGGGTTTCTAAGGGGGGGGGTCCTCCTCTTGACCATGTTTCTTGCTTCAGGGCTGTTCCTGTCCGTCCTCATCCTGTCCATCATCTTTGCTGGCCGCCTTCGCCCGGCTAGCCGCGCCCCTCTCCTCTTCCGGCCCGACACCAACATCCAGGTGCTGCTGGACCTCAAGTACAACCTGAGCGCCGAGGGGATCTCGTGCGTCACCTGCTCAGGTGAGTGAAACCATGCCCCACCAAAGGCTGTCTGAGAAGGATGCTGGTTGCTGACTAGCAGATCCTCATGCGATTGTAGGTCAGGATTTGAGTAGGTGGCAAGACAGAGAGAGAGAGAGGGAGAGAGAAAGAGAGAGAGAAATCTTCTCACAGCCAAGGACCAAATTCTGCTTCAGAGATGTTCCTGGAATTCACAGTCAAGTGGTGGGTGGTTCCAATGGCTGGAGCAAATTTATGTGTTCAAACACTCTCAGGAACCTAAGAAACCCTCCATCAAATTATTCAATGCTAGAATAATTTTGCAGCCGAGGAGACCCAAATGGGTTAGCCAGAGTTCAGCACCATCCGGATGAATCTTCCAGCCTCCGATATCAGAGACTTGTTTGTCCCTGACTAACGTTGTGCGACAGGCTTGTTTCAGGAGAAACCCCATAATCTCCAGAGCAACATCCGCACCTCCTTGGAGAAGAAAAAAAGGGGATCGGGCCCGGCATGGGGCGGCCGAAGGATCGTGACGGGCGATGCAGGATCTGGGCAAGGTGAGCTGAGCAGTGTTCTCACATCCAAATGTCCCTCATCCCTAAATGTGGACAGGCAGGTGCCCAATGACCTAATGTGTTCGTCTCCCATGGATGCTGGAAAACGTGGATTATAGCAAACATTATTTTAATAGTGGATGAAAATTCGGAGTCAGTTAATGGCCAAGAAATCGCCGGGAATTCGAGGTGGAAACAGGATTCGCCCCCCCATTTCCAAGAAAAGGACTAGATAGCAACCTGGAAAGAGGGCCGAGCCCACGTGGGAACTTTCCCCAGAGATGTTCTGTTTTCCCCACTGTCGGGGGAAACCAGATGTTGGCCTGCCGGCTTCTCTTGCCAAAGGTATTGTTGTGACTGCGCCTTTTCCTCCCAGATCTCCAGGGAACCGTCTACATCTTCAAATCCAAAAGCCGTGGCAAGCCAGCGGTGTATCGGTTCTCCCTCAACGCCACGGCCCCGGCCCCGTGGCAGGCGGTGTCTGCCGGAGACGGGGAGGTCCCTTCCTTCCAGGTGAGCCACCTTCATGGGGCGACGCCGAGGCTCTTGCGCCCTCGTAGAGGACCCCGGGGGAGGCGCACGATGCTTGCCCCTCCAAGCGCGGCGTCTTCTAGACTGCAAAAGGGTGTTTCTTTTCCTTCAGGGTGGAGTGGTGGTGGTGGACTCTAGTGGCCGCTGTACCCAGCCAACCTGCCACGTTGCTAGGGATGGTGGGAGTTGGGGCCCACCGCCCTTGGTGGGCTCGAGGCTGGATGGAAAAAGAGATGTTATTCCTGGCGCCTTTCGGATGTCCTTGGGCGCGTTGACCACACCGGACCGTTCTGGTCCTCCCCCTTGAAGGGAAAGGAGAGGGAGAAGGCGTGTGGGGCTGAGCCTCTCCTCTGCGACCCTTCTTTTTTTGCCCCTCCCCCCTCTCGGATCTGGCTGTAATCTCGTTAAGTGATCTGTTTTCATTAATCCGTTGCTTAGGTGTATAGAGTTCCATACGGTAACTTCACCAAGAGGCTGACCGCTTGTGTGTCTACAGGAGCGCACGCCCAGCAGACGGGGCTCAAGAAATGGATGGTGACCTCCGGGTCGTGTGACACCAGGAGGGGGTGGAAATTTGACTTCAGCTTTTACGTGGCTGCGAAGGAGCAGCAGCGGACACGGTAATGTCCCGAGGGATTCGGGCACAACTCTTAAGGAAGCGGGAGCGGGGGGGGGGCTGGAAGGAGGTTGTCCCCAAACCCCGTCCAGTCTGGGGTTGCCTTCCGAGGAACCTTCCAGTTTTATATATTTGAGAAGGCAAGCTGCTAGCCCTCATGGAGGTGGCTGTGTTATACATGGGCAGAACGTGTGCAGGCATGTTTGCTGAGCACCGTTTCTGGAAGGAGACCCCAATGTGAGATGGACGGATGCCATCCTGGAAGCCACAGCCGGGAGTCGAGCAGAGCTCTTGAGAGAAGGACATTTTGGAGATGGGTCATACATAGGGTCGCCATAAATTGGACGAGATTTTCGGATTTGGGAGGGCTACCACCGATTCCTTAGTTCCCCATCCTGGGAGTGAGGGGCATTGAAATCCTGCCAGGATTCCCAACTTTGGGCCCCCCGAGAGGTTCCTGGATGGCCACTCCCAGAAATCTCAGCCAGCCCAGCTCATGGTGAAGGCTTCTGGGAGTTGTAGTCTGAGAACCGGTGAGGACCCACGCTTGGGAACCCCTGGTCCTTAGGGCATCCTTGGACCTCTGGGAGTTGTAGTCCGAGAACCCCTGGTCCTTAGGGCATCCTCGGACTCCAAAGGAATGAGGCTGATGCTCTGAGGCCCCGACGAGCTTTCAGGATCCTTCGCCGCTTCCTCTTCCTCCAGGAAGCTGTATTTCGCCCAGTCTCACCGACCTCCATACCACGGCAGGGTGTGCGTGGCCCCCCCGGGTTGTCTCCTCAGCTCCAGTCCAGACGGCCCCAACAAAGGCTCTTTGTATGTGCCGAGTGAGAAAGGTGAGCCCGGATCCATTTTGCCATTTTCGGGTTGTTCTGGGAGACACCAGGACTTATCCATCCATCCATCCATCCATTCATTCAAAATATTGCTATCCTGCCTTTCTCACTGAAAGGACCCGAATGTTTATTTTTCTAAACATTTCTGATCAGTGTTTTCAGGAAGATGCGCCTCTCAAAGCAGAGGGCAGAGATGTGGTACTAAACAATGAGAAAAAAGAGCCAAGCTGGACGTTGAAAGGCGTCCGCTAACCCTCGCCACCTCCTTTCCTATGTTCTCCAGCTGCTCCCAAAGCCAAACTTTCTGTCACATCCGGATTCAACCCTTGCGGGAATGCCAGCTGTGGGAAGCCGGCGGTGCGGCCTCTGGTGGACACAGGAGCCATGGTCTTTGTGGTCTTTGGCATTCTTGGGGTGAACCGCACTCGGCGCACGGACAACCACGTCATAGGAGACATGGTACACATGCTTTCTGACTCACACAGGGCACGGGTGAAGGCTGAGGGTGGGTTTGTGTTCTGTGCGCAAATCAGTGAAATTGGTTTTCTTGATGCCAAGCGAGGTGCGCATTGGTGCAAAATGCAGTCGACTTTTGTGCAAAATGCAGTGGGATTTTGTGCAAAATGCAGTCGACTTTTGTGCAAAGTGCAGTCAACTTTTGTGCAAAATGCAGTCGACTTTTGTGCAAAATGCAGTGGGGTTTTGTGCAAAATGCAGGGGGTATTGTGCAAATCTCTCTTGATGGCTCACATATTCTTGTAATCTCACCTCTTGGGGAGGGAGCATATGAAAGCTTTTTTTCTCACCCCTGAAAATGAAGTCAGGCAGGTCCGCACGACTAATTAAGGAGTAATTCCTCCTGAGTCGATTAAACGTCTCGGCCTCCGCTCTGCGCCAAGGCCGTCCCTTTGCCTCATGTGTTCCTCTCGCTCTTCTTTCGGGTCTCCTTGTGAAAGGGCAGCGTTGTTTACGATGAGGGCTTTGACCTCTTCAAAGAGATTGGCAACTTGTGCCGCATCTGCAAAACCATCGCCAAGAACGCGGAGCTGGTGAAGCCGGGAGGGGCCCAGTGCTTACCTTCAGGTATGACGTGTGTTCCGCGGACAACTGTTTGGGAGGGGGGGAGCTCGTGGCCACAGTATGGGTGATTTGGAAATCTGGACTCTCATCCCAAAGGACCCCTGATGTTCACGGAGTCCAGAGCTCCCTTTTGACCTAGCTTTACCCTCCCAAAGTTGCAAGGATGGGGAGGGAAAGAAGCAGGAGCAACCCTGGAACTTCTTGACAGAGTTTTTTATGTGCCATCCAGCTGTCTCTGATTTACAGCAACCCCATGAATGAATGATGCCAACATTTCCCATCCTCAACAGCCCTGCTCAGACCTTGCAAGCTCTAGGCCACTGGCTTCCTAAAGGGAGTCAGTCCATCTCCTATTGGGGTCTTCTTCCTCTTCTCCTGCTGTCTTCAACTTTTCCTAGCGTTATTGTCTTTCCCAGAGAATCCTGCCTTCCCCTGAGGTGCCCACAGTAGGACAGCCTCAGTTTCAACCTTTTGGCCTCCGGAGAGATAGTTCAGGCTTGATTTGATCCAGGACCCCCTTTTTCGCCTTTCTAGCAGCCCAGGGTGGCTGCCAAACCTGGTGTAAATGGGCTCCAAAGTCAACAAACAAGTGATAAGCAAACAAGCCGGGACGACATCAGGCTGGTGGGGAATTATATGTGGATTTCCATCCGAGGGTCTGTTTGACGAGCAAGGTTTTGTAAAGGGGGTTCTTCTGATGCAGCCTCGTCAAGATTTTTGTTTTTTAAAAAAGGAACCTCCATTTATAGGGTGCTATTTTCCCCTCCAGGTTATAGCATCTCTACCATCCTTCAGATGCTCCACCCAGAATGTAAGAATCTTCCAGAGCCTAACCTCCTCCCAGGGCAGCTCTCCCACGGGGCGGTGGGCGTGAAAGACGAGAAGGTGCAGTGGATTTCCATGGCGTTTGAGTCGGTGAGGGCCTCTTCCGCTCCCGACCCCTAATTCCTGTTCTGTAGCCCTTGTCCACTTGGGGTGTTCAATACCTTTCCTTCTTTCTTCCTTCCTTCCTTCCTTCCTTTCTTAATTTCCTCCTTCCTTCCTTCCTTCCTTCCTTCCTTCCTTCCTTCCTTCCTTCCTTCCAGCATTTAGAAAAGTCCAGGCTTCTAGTTCTCCTTGATAAAGGTTTAAAAATCTCTGGGTTCCAATATGGGCTGCAAAGCTACTGGAGATTTCCACCGCTGTAACTGTGATGGCAGAGACCAAATTTGCTGCTTGCATAGCTGGTCATGTGCCCAGGTGTGTGACCAGCGCACGACCTGGAATGTGAACAGCAACTTGTAAATTAGCAGTTGTCCACCACTGGGGGAGGGAAGGCTCTGCCAGATGATCTGGCTGCCTGTCGCCTCGTTCACAAGCTTAGGCCACCCTCTCCTCCAACGATAACCCTAACTGGGCCAGCCCTAAAGAGGAAGTGGCACCGCAGGGGAACCGAGCCTGGGAGTTACAAATGGGCTCTGAGTTTGTCACTGGGTGATGGTTGCCTTTCCACACGAGCAACGAGGAGAGGAAGCTGTGGCTGACCACGGAGTATGATACACCTTGACTGATTAGGGAAGCTCTACAATGGCTGGTGATGCCTCAGGCAGCCAGATGTCTTGAGTCAGCTCTGATCTGAGCCCTGAAACCCCTCATAACTGTGGCTAAGAGTTCCTGTTCCCCTCGCCTTCTGGATCACTCATTATTGACTTAACAATTATTAAGTTGCCGTTGCCTCCTTATTATCTGCTTAAAGGATTTGCTCACTCGCCTTCTGGATCACTCATTATTGACTTAACAATTATTATCTGCTTAAAGGATTTGCTCGCCGCCTTTCTGGTTCCACCAAGCTCTCTGGGCGGATCGAATAACCAAGCACATGCCTCTCTGTCTGCGCAGGTCTTTCCTCTTTTTAATTATCCCACGGTCCTTCTCTTCCAGACGACGTACAAGGGGAAGTCGTCCTTCCAGACCTATTCCGACTATCTCAAGTGGGAGACTTTCCTTCAAGATCAGCTCCGTCAGTTTCCGGAAGGCTCCGCCTTGCGCAGAGGCTTCCAGACCTGCGAGCACTGGAAGCAGATCTTCATGGAGATCATCGGTAAGTAATCCCCCTTTGTCACACAGAGAGCGCTGCAACAAAATGTTGAAGGGTGAAGTGCTTCGTGGCTGACTTTCCTAGTCTGCCTGCCAGCCAGGTCCTCTGCTGTGTTACTCCATTGAACCCCGCTCTCATTCAGTTCACAGTCCACAGCTACTGAGCATGTTCAGATCTTAGTTGGCTGGTATATGAGGGGTTTCTGCCCTTCTTTTCCTTAAGTATCTTTAATGCTTCTGGAAACCCCAGACCTGCTAATTATTGCTTTATCGTGGGCGGTGCAGTTCTGGCTATTTAAGCAGATTAAACGTTAGGAATAACGAGGAGCTCGGTGCAGGCTATGACGGATAGAGCCCCAGAGGGGAAGCTGTGGGTTCGAATCTACACTCTGCTGCCCACTTGGTTGAGTGGATTGCAAACTATCAGCTCCAACGGGCTCGTGGGATTGTTTGGGTAGCCTGCCTCTTTTCTGTGAGCACCAGAAGCCGTAGGTTTTAAAGAAAAAGCTGTTGTCGTGTTTGTGGTTCGTGCTGGGCTGGGATTTGCGAGGCCAAGGTTCTAGATCTCATTGAGCTACAAAACTCATCTGGGGGAAAAAGAGCCAATGGGGTTTCTCTTCTCCTCGTCCAAGGTGTTCAGAGCGCTCTGTATGGCCTCATCCTGTCTCTTGTGATTTGCGTGGCCGCGGTCGCCCTCTTCACCACCCACGTCCTCCTCCTGCTCCCGGTCTTGCTCACCATTTTAGGTACGAAAGTGGTCTAGACACCGGCGGGGTGTGGTTGCTGGGGGTTTCTTCGGTCGTTATTGTTGTTGGGGCTGGCTTTTTTCCCCCCCTCCTGCCCCGCCCGGGGATTCTGGGCGTTTGTCGTCCGAAGAAAGCCACGCGGCCGAGATCCGATGAGGAGGGAGAGGGACTAAACCCTGTCTTTCTTTCCGGATCCCCGGCGGGTCTCGCCGACAGGCGTCGTCTGCTTGGTGGTCACCATCATGTACTGGTCCGGCTGGGAGATGGGAGCGGTCGAGGCCATCTCGCTCTCCATCCTCGTCGGCTCCTCGGTGGACTACTGCGTGCATCTGGTGGAAGGGTTCCTCCTCGCCGGCGAGAATTTGCCCCTTCACCTGGCGGAGGTGAGACGGTAACACCGTGGGAAGGTGGGCGAGGGAGCCTGAACCCCCGAACCCCTCCTGCTCTCTTCGGTCCATCCCGCAGTTTCCAAGCCCTGCGTCCTGCAAAGCCTGTCTTTGAAAGGGCGATCGAGGGCCGTTTGTCCTACAAAAGACCACCCCCGGCAGCTTGAAAAGACAGGCTGTACTCGCAGGGCCTCCAACACAGGCTGAGAATAGGGATGAGAAGTAAAGAACCCTACCTTATACCCCGTGACCTCCCACAGCCACGAGATGGGTATCCAGGGTTTCACCTATCCGCGGTCTGAAAAGATTAAAAATCTTCAAAGGAAAACACTAGAAAGACATATTTTCATGACATCTTTATTAGAACCGTCTCTCTCCATTGGCCCGCTGTGGTCATACGGGCTGAAAATACTTTATTCTAGATTGTTTTTTTACCCTGCAATTCCTTAGTGTTTGCTCTTATCTGCGGTTTCCAGCATCCACGGGGGCCCCCTCTTGGAATCGAACCCAAGCAGATTGAGGAGCCCCAGCATAGACCTAGAGGAACAGGTGCTGTACATCCGTTGTTCCATGTTCCTTCTCTCCCCCCCCCGGTTTCTTTTTTCAGGACCCCGGCTCCAGCCGGCAGTGGAGGGCGATCGAGGCGGTCCGCCACGTGGGCGTGGCCATCGTGTCCAGCGCCGTCACCACCGTCATCGCCACCGTCCCGCTCTTCTTCTGCATCATCGCCCCCTTCGCCAAATTCGGCAAGATCGTGGCCCTCAACACGGGGGTCTCCATCCTGTACACGCTGACGGTCAGCACCGCCCTCTTGAGCATCGCGGGTCCCCCTTTCTTCACCCGGAGCCGGACTTCCTTCCTCAAGGCCCTGGCCGGGGTGCTGACCGCCCTGGCCGCCGGCCTCTGCGTCGGCTTGTTGTTGCTGAGGAGCGGGTTCGAGATCCCGCTGCCCAGTGGGGCGGTCCTATAGTTGCGTACAACCCTAACTCTCTCCCTTCCCCTGAAAAAGTCCCTCTTTCTTCCTCTCTCTCCCCCTCCCCACCCCACCTCTGGAGTCTTTCGGGAATCCCTGGGAGCATGGGAGTTACGCAGGATGTGTTGAGTTACTTTATCACAACTGGAGCTTGGAAATCACGGGTCAGAAGCCATCCATTACTTGGAATCTGAGTCAGGGAATCCTTCTGGACTACAACTCCCAAGTGGGGCCAAGAAAGAAACATTTCCCGCCCCTACGTGTGTCATTAATTCCTTTTCCTAACAGAAAAGGTGTAACTGCGCTCTGTTACAACACAGGGAGGGGTGACTGTAACTGCTTTTAGTTCCATGGAAAGTGGTGGGGGTCGTGGCCTCACCCGGACGGCAGGGGGAGGAGGTCATGTGACCCGTGCATGGCCCCCCTCCCTGTGGCTGTACAGGCTGTGGATTTTGGGTGTGATAGTCCAATAAGAACCGTTTCCATGCTCAGGGTGGAGTCGGTTTCTCCTTTCTGGCTCGTTAGCCGGCTCCCTAAATTTCTCCAGCTAATTTTGTAAAAAAGAAAAAAAATCTTTTTTGAATCTTCAGAAGTAAACCCACTCCTGTTATCCTAGGCTCAGCTCCACTTTCCTCTCTCTCTCTCTCTCTCTCAATTCACATGCACTTTACTTCCTACCTCCCTCTTTTCTGCTCTTCAAATGTATGTTAATTTCCCCCCACCCCACCCCGGATCGACAGAAAGAATTAATTGTCCGTCATGGCTAGCTAAGAGAGCTGATCTTTTGGGGGTGCGAAGACAAGAGGAGCAGGAAAACAGACAGGAGCGCCTTTCTCGTTCTACTCTCATTGCTGTGGGGTTGGTTCGGTTTTTCTATCTTGTGGGACGTCAGCATTTAGAAACCACCACGTCTTTCCTGAAAGGACTGCAGGCAGGACCTGGCCAGTGCCAGTGACGTGGTTGAAAGAAGGCCAGTTTGCTTTGGCTTCCACCGTCATCCAAGCTTTGTGGCCGGGTCCTTTTGCCCACTGCAAGGATTGGGGCCCAGCATTAAGCGATTGCCTTGAAGCTAACGGTGTATGTGAAGTTCCCGATGACACCACTGAAAAAAACCAAGGTTGTTTGATTCTTTGGGGGTGCCCCGATCGTCTTAATGTGGAAATCACGAAGTGTCCCCTTTGGTGTGCTGAGGGGCTGTTCCCACGGAGGAGAGAGAAGTGAGAGGCGCCAATCAGGGGTCCAGATCTCAAACAGTATTTACAGAACTGCAAAACCCGAGAGGCAGGGCTTTTAAGAGCAAGGCCAGGCTAATTCTCCAACCAAGCTGCAGTTGATCGGGCCAAGGAGAAGCCCAAAATGCACCACCACAGGGTTTGCAGTGGACCCCATTTGCAGCTGGATCTGACCCTTGGCACCACTCCGAAGTGGCCCAAAAACCCAGCATAGCCGCTAGCGTCGTGAAGGACTGGAAAACCTCCATCGGACGGATCTGTTTCCTCCTCCTCCTGTGTAAGGCGGTGGAAAGGATCTTGGGCTTAGTCAATGGAAAAGGCACTAATGGAGAACCGGATGAAACGCTCCCTGTTGGATCTCTGGTCTTGCTTTTTGGGCTGCTGCCCCGCTGTGTTGTTTTCTCGGTTCAAAACCGCCCCTCGCTCCTCTCTTTCGGGCAAAATTCATGGGCTCCTGGGTTGTCCAAAACAGAGCAGCTGCTTCTCCTGGGAAGATAATAAACGGTGTGTTATTTACCGCAGTGCTTCGGCATTAAATCCTCCTGCGCTCTTCTGCAGGCCAAGCTTTCCGGGGGTTGATTTACGGGTCAACCCGACAAACCCGAAGGAGGGGTGTTTAAAAGCGAGGTCTCCTGCTGGCTGCGTTTGTAAATCAGCGTCGCCGCAGAGAAGGTCTGGAAAGCGAGGCCGTAAACAGATGGAGGCCACCTTCGCGACGTTCCACTGGAACAGAAGGTGGCTTTTCCGAACGTACAGATGAGGTGGACTACAGCTCCCATCATCCTGGGCCAGGCTGGTTGGGAATGATGGGAACTGGAGTTCCACCCACTGTGGGGTGGGGGGAAACTACCCCTTTCTGGTCAGGAATGCTGTCCCTGTATTTCTAAATCCAGGGCCAAGAAAGGTTACATGGATTGAGGTCACCAAGGGAATCTGTGGTGGAACCTAAATTCGAACGCAGGACTTGAAGATTTGAAGATTTCCCTCTTCAGCGTCATATTGGTGGCCCTTGAACCCCGCAGTGTTTCTTGGCCTGGATTTGGGAAGCAGATGATCTTTTCAGAAGGGGTTGGATGTCTTTTGCTTTTAAACGAAATCAAAGAACATCCATAACATTTCCCCTGGAAAACATATGTTTTTTTCTTCAAAAAAAGCACCTTGTACTGTACAGGTATTTTCATTTTAAGCTCTGCTTTCTATGGTGTCGGCAACCAGCTAGTCTCCAGGGACTTTGGACTACGAGCCCCATCAGCCCCAGCCCATGGTCAAGGACGATGGGAGATGGACTCCAATCCTTTGAATGGCTTCAAACCCCTTGACTCTGCTGTGTTGGAGCGTATCTGCACGCAGGCATCTCCAAAACGAAAATTTAGATTTCAAGCATCTGTTCCTAATTTAACTTAATGTTTAAAAAAAGAATCACAAGCCAATCTTGTTTTTCTTTTTCCTGAGACAAGAATAGGCAGTAATTAGTTTTCAGCACCGGTCCAATTTTTACGGTTTTAATCCAAAGCAGGAAGCCTGTAGGGGAGATCCCAGATGATCAATTAGGAAACGGACATTTCAGTTTTTAACAGATCCCCTTTTTTCACGCGCGCAGCCACGCGAGCCTCAGTTTTGAGCTCTATAGATATACAGCTATGCAAAATAAAAATAAAATGCGTAAATAAAATTTAAGTTTTCTGTGGGTGGGTGGAGGGGGAAGCATGACGGCAGCAAAAGGGGCGGATGATCGTCGGCTATGCTGAAGGTTATTATGGGATGGAGCAGACTGCAATGGGGTTGCTGCTCCAGTAGATTTAAAATGTTGAGTGTGGTTTATTTTGTTTTATTGGATGATTTTTCCTCCCTCCGGGGGGTTACATAGCACAAATTTTCCCACGTCCTGTATCTCCCTTCTGAATTTCCGTTGGCTGTTTCTATCGAGATACTTGTTTTGCTTTTTTTTCCCCTCCCGCGTTCCTGAGTTTATCAAGCTATTTGTGATTCCCTTTTTCTCTCTCTTTTTCTTTTTTTTTGAGATGGCTGTAAATAAGGACAATTAAAAAGAAACGAGATTTTAACATTCCGCGGTGTGGTCTTTTTGGGCTTGGTTGATTTCTCGTCTCTGGGAATGGCGAAGTAAGGGAGGGTCGGGAACCGACCAGCCACGGTGCTAGATCTGGCCTTCCTCCTGGCCCAGTTCAGCCCAGTGGAGTTCTAGAGTTGACCTCAGACTTTTCTTTCATACGCCACCATTTGGCTTCCCTGTTTTTTAAGGCCCCTCCATTAAAAGATCTTTTTTGAAACCCTCTTTTACACTTAATTCTTCTTAAAACAGAAAGAAGGGATGGTTAAAATTTGCCATTATTTTGGATTCACATCCTTTTTTTGGGCTACGGGAATTTCACCCCCCCCCCCAAAGGCATATCTTAAATTCATTTCATTTCAAATCACAGGTTTCATTTCAAAATCACAGACACACCTAAACAAATCTGGCAGCCCAGGTAAATCTGGTCAGAGGGGAAATGGCTGATTTGCTCTGTCAGCCCTCTCTTTCTGATATACTCCTCCTGAGCCTGGAGGCTCCCTTTTAAATCACCGGGGCAAATGTTTATCTCCCCTCGGAGCAGCAAGAAAATAGAGTGAATCTGTTGATGGTTTCAAAAGCAATGTCCCTTTCTAGGCTAATGGCAAACAGAGAGATATATATAGAGAGAGATTGGCCAGTTCAAACAGCTGGTAGAACTTTGTAAAGTATTTGCAGAGAGAGAGATTTACACTGAATTCCGTTTGTCTTTTCAAGACTATCTTAGATTCCCCTCCTTGACTCCACCTTCAATTAGAAATTCATAGTCGCTCCTTCCACTTAACCTTGAAATGCCAATTTCTAAGTCTCTTGCATCTTCCATGCGTTGGGCTCCAATTTATGCAGAAAAATGCAGATCCTTTAAATCTTCAATCTCTCCAGCATTGCCGCTTCCCACCTCTTGATTCGTGGATGCTTCGTTACAGGAATTTCTGATGGGCGTAATTGCCCTGGAAATGTCCAAGCAGGGGAAGACGGAAATATAAATATCCTGTATAGGGCTCTTTTTTTGGAGACGCTATGGGGAATTGGAACATGTAGACCCCAGCTGTGGTGGAAGATGTATAAATAAATAGGAATAAACATACCCTCTTTTTTTTGGCCAAAAACATATCTTAATATAGCTTTTAGGCTAGTGACTCTGAAATTGCAGAGAGGGCGGTATTGGGTGTGTGCTGGTTTTTAGTCCGAACTTTTAAAAGAGCAGTCCAGGATGCTGAATCTATTTTAGGGATAGGAACAGCCCATGGAGAGCTCTGCAGATTTACAGACTTCCTAAAATTGGCATCGCCAGCCTACCCAGAGAGATTTTTCTTGAAATGGCTGGCGACTGTTTTCACGGCTTTGTGTGCAGGAGATGAGATAGTGTGAGAGCAGAGAAGAGGGGGGTGAATGATGTTAGCGACTGTACTTCTGCAAGTCTGCTGTTGCGCATTCTCAAGTTGGCTCTCACCGATGGCGAAAGCTCTGCAGATTTACAGACTTCCTAAAATCGGCACCGCCGGCCTACCCGGAGAGATTTTTCTTGAAATGGCTGGTGACTGTTTTCACAGCTTTGTGTGCAGAAGACGAGATAGTGTGAGATTCTCGGCTCTTGTAAACTGAAGTCTGTGGTTTCTTTTAGGGAGACCGTCCATCTCGTATTGGTTTTTCCCTCTCTTCCTGCTGCCTTCCGCTTAGCATTCTTGGATGCTGAATCTATTTTAGGGATAGGAACAGCCCATGGAGAGCTCTGCAGATTTACAGACTTCCTAAAATTGGCATCGCCAGCCTACCCAGAGAGATTTTTCTTGAAATGGCTGGCGACTGTTTTCACGGCTTTGTGTGCAGGAGATGAGATAGTGTGAGAGCAGAGAAGAGGGGGGTGAATGATGTTAGCGACTGTACTTCTGCAAGTCTGCTGTTGCGCATTCTCAAGTTGGCTCTCACCGATGGCGAACCTATGAATGAATGATCTCCAGAATGTCCTATCCTATTCTCGGCTTTTGTAAACTGAAGTCTGTGGCTTCTTTTGGGGAGACCGTCCATCTCGTATTGGGCTTTCCTCTCTTCCTGCTGCCTTCTGCTTTCCCCAGCATTCTTGTCTTTTCCAGCATATCTTCCCTTCTCACTTTGTGCCCAACGGATGACAGCCTCAGCTTTTCCCCCCATTTCTGCACCTAAGAAAAGTCAGCTGAGCCACTAAGATAGGCAACGAAGGATAGGCCATGAAGAGCCGTTAGTTCTATTAAAGCCCTGCTCTTTGGCAGAGGCGAAAACTCCTAGAACTGGTTTGTTGAGGTGGTTCGGTCTCTTCCCTGCAGTGTTGGACTCTCCCCCACCAGGCGGCTCTGTGGGTTGGAGTATCTGACTGTAGAGTCAGGGCTGAGAGTTCGAATCCTCATTGTGCTTCAAGGAGAAAGCGGCAGGCCGGGAAAGCTGCAGGGACCTGTAGCGCCATCCCACGGAGGGAACTAGTAGGCCACTTCTGAGGACTGAAAAAAAGCCACCGTCATTTGGAATCCACTTGATGACATAGAATTATTATTTATTCCAGGTCTGGTGTAATGCCACCCTACATCTTTGCACTTCAGAATCCAGCCCGGTTTGCTTTCGGCTTTTCCTCTACCTCTTTCTCCATCGTCTTTGTTCGCTCTGTTCCCCTCCGGCTTTGTTCCAAGCCTGCCTTTCGAAACCTACCGTTTGGGCGTGTGGGAGGGTGTCGCTGTTCCCCGTCTGTCTGGGCGTCTCAAAGCATCATCCCAAAGAGTGGGAAACGGTGATTAAAAAGACTGCACCGTCGGCTGTCAGAGGAGAGGCGCTTTGTTGCCTTTGAACGTGGCCAGATTTCCACCCCTTCAGAGACACCAGTCGGAGGACCGATCCTTACAAACAACCGAGGGTTTTTAGGAGGCGATTCTGCCCGGTTGCACCTCCCATGACAAAATACACTTGTTGGCGTCTTTATTTCTTTTCATTGCTATACCGCCTCATCAGCGGTCCTTCTCAAAATACACTTGTTGGCGTCTTTATTTCTTCTCATTGCTATACCGCCTCATCAGCGGTCTTTCTAAGGAGAAAGGTGGGGTAAAAATATTTTAAATAAATATAATGATATAAAGTAGCGTGGCCACTCTCTAAAATGGGCCTTTGACAGAAAAAGGAGGAAGTGGGGGAGGGGCTCGCTACATGTAGACTAAAAGGATTTAAGGAGTTGGAACGGGTACCTTGAGATCATCTAGTCTCATCCCACGGCTGCAGGAATCCACAGATAAAGCACCCCTCAGAGGAGGCCATCCGACCACTTTTAAACACCTCCAAAGCAGGCAATCTCATCCTTCTCCCAAGAAAATGTAATTTAGAGGCCCCAGGTGCAATATAACAAATGCTGCTAATTAACAAGTGGCCGCTTGCCTTCCCAGTCATGTGGCAAGTTGCATGGCTGGCACGTGACCAGGAGTGTGAGCAGCAACCTACAGCTTTATACTCACTCCACTGTAAACCCTGAATAGGATCCAGGACCCTGGCCGGATCTCGAACAGCCAAGCTTTCGAAGCCCTGGGCAGAGATACAGTAATTAAATCTCTTGGGTTTATTCTTTCCCACGCAGGAAGCAAACGGAGCATGCCAAAAACTGCCTGTCAGATCCAAGACCGAAGTCTAATTTCCTTCCTGTCGTTCTACAAACACAAAACTGACCGCCTTCCCGCTCTGATTTTTATTGAACGGATTCCACCAGGCGCAACCATCAATCATAGTTCTTTTCGAAACCAGATTATTCTGGATTTTGTAGGATGGTTCTTTATTTTATTTGTTTTGTTTTTTCTTCTACTGCCTGAGCATTTTATAAGCAGCGAGAGAGAGAGAGAGAGAGAGAAAAGGAGACAGAGATTTCCCACCCACCCCTCCAGAGAGAGAGAGAGAGAGAGAGAAGGAGATGGAGATTTCCCACCCACCCCTCTGTTTTGAAAATGAGCATGGGTCTAATATTGAGGACAACTCAGAATGTGGAATTCCAGACAGGCCGAGAAATGTGAGGCTTGTTGCTGGAAGAGGCTGGCCAGCCGTGCTTTGGGGTGGTGTGGCTCTGGATATCCTGCCTCAAGCAGGGGGCCAGGTGAGATGACTCCCGTCCACTAACCTTATGATCCCACCTGTGACTCAGCTATGTGACAATGTTGGTGAACATTCCGTGACGTCACAGAAATGAACCGAGGGCTTTTAAAAAAACTCTCATTTAGGCAAAAGTTTATTTTGCCTTAAAATATCACCAGGGTTGGTTTCTTTGGTCCAATGGTGTCCCGGCTGAATGAACCTGCACACCAACCCTGCAGGATAGGCCAGGCCATGAGCGAAGGGTGAGCCCGAGACCAAAATTCAGACTTGATTTGCTCGCGGACCCACTTGATCATCTTTCTAGCAGTCACAGTATCTTTGCGTGTACATTCAATTAAAGTTCCACTTTGCTGCAGAGGTGCTCACGGAGCGGGGGCGGCCGCACCTCATCTTTTTATGCCGAACGTTACTCCTGAGGTCTTATTTAGCCCCTTCTGTCATTTTTCCCCTCTCATTACAGAGAGGAAAATAGCGAGATAGCTTTTCCTCAGATAGAGGGGATGTGCTAATGAAGTCTTTCCTATAAACAGCACATATCGGGGGTGGGAAAAGCTTGTTAATAAAAGAGAGAAAGGTAGGGGAGGGGGAGATTATTTTTTCCATACAGTGTTCTTCTTAAATTAACAATGTCAGGATAATGCACACCCGGCTCGTGCCATTAAGCAAATGCACTTTAAATTGATTTCAAATTAGCGGATTAATGGTTCCCCTCACCTCCTGGCTGTCATTTCAATATTGCAAAGAGTGGGGGGTGTTTTGAATGAAAGGATAGGTGCCCATGAATGGGTCTGTTTCCTGTCATCGCTCAGCCCATAACTGGGCTGGTTTAGCGGTTGCTCATCCTATATATGGATCGACGTTGAAGAAAAACAGAAAAAAAAACAGGGCTGTTTTTATCTCCGCCTGGAGCCA